TGGTAAGGCTTCCAGTAATAGTTAAGTTTTGGGGGAGTCAAAAGTTACATGTGGATTTTCAACTGCGCAGGGATCAGTGCCTCTAACCCCCATGTTGTTCAAGGGTCAACTGTAATCTTGGTACCTAATGATACTAACCTAATTACTCATTTGATTTGTGCTTCAGAATGTGTGTGTGTGTGAAAGTTTTAAAGTAACATTAATACCTACATTATTAATAACAACACCACTGAATGCTGTTTCAGATTTTATGTTTCTTTTGACCTTATGTTATATATCACTAGGTATGCCCGGTCAAAATACCATTTTACTACTGAGTAAAGTAAGAATCCATGAGTCTGTGCTGATGTAAATAAATAAGCAAATAAATGAATGGGGAAGGAGGAAAAGCTTTAAGTAGAAAATCAGTTAAATGTAGAAGAAATGCTGGAATGGCAGTTTTCATTATCATAACTGATCCAGGTAAGAATCACCAAGGATGCTAACTTGTGGGTGAAAATTTGAAGAGTGATAAGATATTTATGTAATCTCTAAATAGCTCCCTACTGGATACTTATTAATTACAAATGGGAAACTAGTAATTTTACAGATGAGAAACCCAGCAGAAAATAGCAAAGTTAACACTGCTTCTAATGGGACTGATTGATAGCATGGGCTTCCTGATATGAGGCACTGAGAACTTGGCAGCACTGCTGTGGTATTCCTGCCAAAGTACATAACCAGATTTAATCATGAAGAAACACTGGGCAAACCGAATGAGGAACATTCTAGAAACTAAATGGCCTACGTTCCAGGTTAAAGTGATTAAAGGAGACTGAAAAGACAGATCTTGTTTCATACATATATTTGTGACAGGGTCTGACTCTGTCACCCAGGCTGGAGTGCAGTAGCATGATCTTGGCTCAGTGCAACCTCTACCTCCTGAGTTCAAGCTGATTCCTGTGCCTCAGCCTCCCAAGTAGCTGGGATTATAGGAGCATGCCACCATGCCTAAGTTTTCTGCCTTTTTAGTAGACGGTGTTTTGCCGTGTTGGCTAGGCTGGTCTCGAACTACTGACCTCAAGTGATCTGCCTGCCTCATCCTCCAAAAGTGCTGGGATTACAGGTGTGAGTCACTGTGCCCAGCTTGTTTTTCTTTTTGCTATAAAGAATATTACTAGAACAACTGATGAAAGTGAAACAAGGTCTGTAGAATACATAATGATATTTGGTCAATATAAATTACCTGGTTTTGATAACTGTTTTGCAGCTATGTAAAAGAATTCCTTATTTCTAGGAAATATATAAGTAAATGGATAACAGTGAGAGATTGAGAAGGATTAAACAAATGAAGAAAAAATGTTAACACAGGGAATCTGAGTGAAAGGTATCTAGAATCCTCATACTTGTTCTCATAACTTTTCTATAAGTCTAAAATTACGTAAAAACAAAACAAAACTCCCTACCCTATTTTAAAGTTACTAAAAGTAATTCTCCTTGTGGCTATGCTTTCACTTTGCAACAGAGTGCGGTTCATTTGTTTTAGATTTTGTCTTAATTTGGTGTTTTAATGATATAAAACATGTACATAGGTTCTAAAGTACAAACTGTAAAACAGATACTATTCAGAGAGGTCTAGCTTTTGCCCTCTTCTCCCATGCCCAATCTTTCTTCCCCATTTGTAACTATTTTTACTAGTTTTCAGTTTATCCTTCCATTTTTTAAAAATAAAAAAATACATACAAATATTCAAAATTTCCACATAATATATTCTATAGGTAATTCCATAGTAGTACTTAGAACATTTTTGTGGAGGTTTTTAAATTTTTTATTTAATTTATTTTGAGATACTCTGTCACCCAGGCTGGAGTGCAGTGGCACGATCATGGCTCACTGCAACCTCCAACTCCTGGGGCTTAAGCCACCCTTTCACCTCGGCCTCCTGAGTAGCTGGGACTACAGGTGCGTGCCACCACACCTGGCTAATTTTTGTAGTTTTTTGTAAAGACAGGGTTTTGCCATGTTGCCCACGCTAGTCTTGAACTTCTGAGCTCAAGGGATCTGCCCACCTTGGCTGGCCAAAGTGCTGGGATTACAGGCATGAAGCACTGCGCGTGGCTTTTGTTTCTTAAAGAGAGACATCTGCATATACCAGCAGAGGTGGACATTGGAAGACAAGAAAGTTTTCTTCTCAGTGCTTCTATGTTCTCAGTGAAATAAAAAGAAATCACCAGGTGGGAGTGAGGAAGGAGGGGTGTTCCTGGCAGTCTGAGAAGAGTACAGGCGTGAGAAAATATTTTCAAGGAATAGGAGAATGAATTGATTAAGCAGTGGTCCTCAAACCTTAGCATCGGAATCATACAGGTTGCTGGGCCCCATCTCCAGAATTTCTGGCTCACAGGTCTGGGATGAGGTCAGCAACATGCATTTTTTTCTTTTTCCTTTTTTTTAGGGACAAGATTTTGCCATGTTGCCCAGGCTAGACTCAAACTCTTAGGCTCAAGTGCTCCTCCCATCTCAACCTCCCAAGTAGCTGGGACTACAGGCATGCGCCATCATGCCCAGCTAAGAACATACTTTTCTAACAAGCTTCCGAGTGACGTTGATGTGACTGGTTTGGGACCCCTGTTTTGAGAATCACTAGACTAAGGAAATATACTAGAATCATTGGCAGCCCAGGGGCCCACTTGAGGTTTGTAGTCATAAATTTGAAGTGAGACCAATCAGCATCATTGAGTGTTTATATCCAGCAGTCCTCATTTTAGGTGGCAACGTTCAGGCCTGGAGTAGGTGGTGAGCTGAATTTAACCAGGGTTGGGATTTAAAAAGAATGGTGATATCAGTAATCGATGGCACCAAACAAGCATATACATTTGTTCTTTTCTACTTCTGTCTTTATACAGATAAATAACTTACAATACCAACAAGAGAAAGAGGAAGCACGAAGGGAAGAGGTGATATCGAAAATGAGCTAAGAACACAGAGACAAAGCAGAAAGTTCAGAATGAACAGGAAAAAGCTCATATAAAGAAAGAACTAGAAAAATCTGGTGGTAGCTGTGTTGACTCACATTGAGGAGAAAATGTGGTCACAATATGAGGAAACTGAAGATGAAAACAATGAATATTTTGAAAAGGGTTGTGTTAGGTGTAGGAAAAGAATATAGAAAAAAATATATTCATACTAGATTTTATGAAATAGAATGCACATAGGTAAATACCTATTTAGTCATTTAAAAAAATCCTGCTAGGGGCCAGGTGCCGTGGCTCATGCCTGTCATCCCAGCACTTTGGGAGGCCGAAGCAGGCGGATCATGAGGTCAGGAGTTCGAGACCAGCCTGGCCAACATGGTGAAACCCTGTTCCTACTAAAAATACAAAAATTAGCAGGGCATGGTGGCGCATACCTGTAGTACCAGCTACCCAGGAGGCTGAGGCAGAAGAATTGCTTGAACCCAGGAGACGGAGGTTGCAGTGAGCCAAGATTGCACCATTGCACTCCATTCTGGGTGACAGAGCAAGACTCTGTCTCAAAATAATAATAATTAAAAAATAAAACAAAAGTTAAAATCCTGCTAGGATCTTGAAGAGATATATGCATACCCATGTTCAATGTAGCATTATGCACTTAGCCAAGAGGTGGAAGCACCCCCAAAACAGATGAATGCGTAGGGAAAATGTGGTGGATATACAGTAGAATATGATACAGTTTGATAAGAGAAGGAAATTCTGTAACATGCTGCAACACAGATGAACCTCGAGGATATTACACTAAGTAACATAAACCTGTCACAAAAGAACAAATACTGTGTGATTCCACTCATATTAAGTGTCCAAAGTAGTCAAAATCAATGAAACACAAAGAATCATGATCATCAAGGGCAGCGGAAGAGAAGAGAAATAGTGTTTAGTGGTACAGGGTTTTAGTTTTGCAAGATGACAAACTTCTAGGAACTGTTGCACAATAATGTGAATACATCTAACACTACTGAATTGTACACTTAAAAATGGTTAAGATGGTAAATTTAACATTACATATTGTACCACAATAAAAGAAAATCCTGCCAGACCAATACAGTAACCACTTTCTTTCTCAGAGGTTCTAAGGGGAAGTAAGAGCTACAAAACATTTTTATTCTAGCAATTAAAAAATATCCTGTCCCATATACCATATTTATAACAAACTAAAAGCTCTGGAGAATATAATGTTCAGAAGAGTGTACCCAGAGATAATTAAATGTTAGCTACAGCCCAATGAGTTAAATATTTAGTGTAAACAAAGCTATAGGATAACAATTATGGGGAAAATAAAAACTAACTCTTCTTCATTTCAAATAACAACAAAAAAAGGGAAATAACACTAAACTGCAGGGCCAGCAGTTAAATAGTTGGACAGATAGTGGTTAAATTTTGGACTAGAATCAAAACTAAAACTGCAGAATCCCATCACCATTTTGTTTAAAATACAGGTGATGTTTTAATTTGCTTGGGAGAGTTTATCACAGTGATAAAAAGGGGAGAATACCATCAGAAATCTCATCTAGTCTTAAGATTGTTTTAGCAAAGGTTTTAAGGAATACATGAAATTTTGCTAAAATAATGTACAAATGAAATAAAATTTAAAAAAGATTAAAATAATTCATTAGTAATGTTAGTACAATTCAATAAAGGAATGCCACTTTATCTGAATAACTTAGTTTCTAAAACGAATCCAAAAAGAAACAGAAATTTAGTGCTTCTGCTTTGAAAGTCCATATATTATGCATCATTTCTTAGAAAAAAACAGAAAATACATATTTCTGCCTAGAATTTATAAAACTTTTAAATTTTGGGCGGGGGAGGAAAACTTTCCACAACTGTAGTTGGAAAGTATTCATAAAGAAGATATAAATAATTTCCTAAAGTTCAGTGTTGATTGAGCATAAAGTTGTTCCATGGTTCTGGGGCTTATCTGAGGGTTGTCATATTGAAAAAAGAAAAAAAAAAAAGGAGGGGAAAAAAAAACCCTACCACACCACATGTGAACATAAAAAAGAAGAGAACCCCAACCAATTGCACCACGACCGGATGGAAGAGCCCAGCTGACACAACCAAGACAACTCTCAGTGTCTAGGGAAGCTTGGGGTTCAGCTCCTTTTACTTCAGGCAAATCTGAACTGTGAGTATTTCTTGATTTCAGTGACATAAATGAAGCTTTATTTCGGCTAAAATTTGATTAGCTAAACATTCAAAGTGAAACCTGATTCATGGTGATTAGGCTACTCGAATGCCAGCAGTTGTTTGCTTTTAGGATCATTAAGTAAACTGCTTGAATGACACCTCTGCCTTGATTTCAAATGAGACTGTCTTTTTAGTTACTTTAAGTACTTTGAGACATTCAAGGTATTTAAGCTCCTACTGTCAATATAGTCACATTGCTGATTCTGCATTTGTAGAATCTGCCATCAAGATTTGCAGATCTACTTGATAATTAAAAGTTATTTTCATATGCAACACATTTTATTTCTAATGTATTATAAATTATCTATAACTTATTGACTTTAAGTTATGCTGTCTCCCTATTTTCAATTTGTCTTTTCTTTATTATATTATTACTATTTTATAGTATTACCAGATCATATAACATTTAAGTTTGATGTCTCAGAAGTAAATAAGGTAAATATTAGATAAGAGAGAAAGCAAAATACACTTTAGTTCAAATAATTTTTAAAATGTGTCTTTTATGGACAGAGTTAAAACTGTAACACAACCTAACACACTACTAATATTATTTCCAAAGTAATATGTTTTCAATTTTCGTTTTGTATACAGCAGTTAATGCAATTTTTGAAGCATGTCCTGAATAGATTCAGTCATTATCGAGTCAAACGGTGAAAGGTTGCTACTATTACCAAATAGGTATGTATTTCAACAAGCAATGTGGTATTTTCACAAACATACCCAAACTGCATTTTAAAGGCTCCTGCTCATCTGGAGTCACAGTGGAATCTGTTGGGTCCTGCCCTCTGGGTCCAGTACTCCTACATGAGCCAGTTGAAAAATAACTGCAAAAGTAGGTGGTGGTGGGGGGTACAAGGCACTAATACTAGGTTTTTGAACTTATGAATAGGATTTGCCAAGTAACAATATTTAAAAAACACTATCTACTATTACAAAACTATTGTGACCACTTCAATATAGCACATGGGTCACAAGCAGTGTCTGCTAGGAAATTAATCCCCTATGTGAACACAGTAGTTTGTTTCTTGTCTTCACAAGCAATCCTTAACATATCAAACAAGTAGTTTTTAAAATATCAATAAATAGCCTTATAAAGTGAATGACGTAATGTACCAACCAACTTTAAAGGAGAAAAAAAAAAAAAACAGTCACCAAGTTTAAAACAGAATCTAATTATGATTAAAAATTTTTTTTCTGTTTTTTCTGAGACAGAGTCTCACTCTGTCACCCAGGCTAGAGTGCAGTGGCATGATCACAGCTCACTGCAGCCTCTGTCTCCTGGGTTCAAGCAATTCTCCACCCTCAGACTCTGGAGTAGCTGGGACCACAGGTGCCTGCCACCACAACCTGCTATTTATTTATTTATTTATTTTTGGTATTTTTAGTAGAGCCGGGGTTTCACTATGTTGGCCAGGCTGGTCTTGAACTCCTGGCTTCCAGTGATCTGCCTGCCTTGGCCTCCCAAAGTGCTGGGATTACAAGCATGAGCCACTGCACCCGGGCAATTTTTAAAAAAAATATATATATTTTTTCGAGACAAGGTCTTACTCTGTCACCCAAGCTGGAGTACAGTGGCATGATCTTGGATCACTGCAACCTCTGCCTCCCAGGCTCAAGTGATCCTCCCACCTCAGCCTCTCAAGTAGCTGGGACTACAGGTGCACATTACCATACCCAGCTAATTTTTATATCTTTTGTAGAGACAGGGTTTCACTATCTTGCCCAGGCTGGTCTAGAACTCCTAAACTCAAGTGATCCTCTTGCCTCAGCCTCCCAAAGTGCTGGGATCACAGGCATGAACCATGGCACCTGGCTGTCAATTTGTAAATCAATAATTGCATGCTAGCTGTCTAATACATGTTTCTGAATTATGGCCACTATTATAAACAAATGCTTTATTCTCTTTGAAGACTAAAGCAAAACCAGAAAGGTTTATTGACAGACTTGTCCAACTATTACTTATTTTACTTGCGGATTAGAGCTGAGGCAAATGGTTTCAGGATATGTGCTTTGTGCTAACAGCTTTCTAGAAACATCTTGATTACGGCTATGGGGTCTAGAAGTAAGTTTGAAAAGATATGCTCTGCGGGTAGTGTCAAGCATTCTGATGAATTTGTGATTCTGTAAACTCTGGATTTACTTACTTACAATAATGGACATAGCAAATAAAAAGATTAATACCCTTTCCAAAGAAGTAAACCTAGATGGCATAATTTCTTCTTAAAATTGTTGAAGTGTATGTTAAAGGAATCATATAAAAAAACTGCTAATAGAACTCAATAAAGAAAATGCTCATCTGGCTGGGCACAGTGGCTCACACCTGTAATCCTAGCACTTTGGGAGGCTGAGGCAGGTGGATCACAAGGTCAGGAGTCCAAGACCAGCCTGACCAACAAGGTGAAACCCTGTCTCTACTAAAAGTACAAAAATTAGCCAGGCGTGGTGGCATGTGCCTGTAATTCCAGCTACTTGGGAGGCTGAGGCAGGAGAATCACTTGAACCTGGGATGTGGAGGTTGCAGTGAGCTGAGATCGCACCATTGCCCTCCAGCCTCAGCAACTCTGTCTCAAAAAAAAGAAAGAAAGAAAATGCTGATCCTATGTGATAAGGAGTGAGGTTTAGTGAAAAGGATCATGGGCTCTAAAAGTCAGATCTGAGTCCTAACTTGGGCGCTGTCATTTAAGAGTTGTGTGGCCAAGAGTAACGATCATAACCTCTTGACCTAACTAATTTTCCTCCCTCCCTTAAGATCATAACCTCTTGAACTTTCCTTCCTTCCTTCCTCTCTCTCTCCCTCTCTTTCTCTCTCTTTCTTTCATTTTATTTTATTTTAAAGCCACGTGCTTGCTAGTTGCCTTGGCTGGCAGGCTGGTCTTGAACTCCTGGTCTCAAGTGATCCTCCAGTCTCAGCCTCCCAAAGTGTTGGGATTACAGGTGTGAGCCACTGTGCCTGGCCTATCTCTTGATCTTTCATTACCTCTTCTGTGATACCTATCTCACAGAGTTTTGCAAGGATTATGTAAATGAAGTAATGTAAATCTGTTTAACACAATGTCTGGTACACAAAAAGTACTAAATAAATAATTAGTTAATGGTTTGGCCATCTAGCTTAAGGGTTCAATTCTGACTGCAAATTAGAATCCCCTGAAGAGCTTTTAAAGGAAACCGGTGCTTGAAACCCATTCCAGACCAATTAAATCAGAATATCTGGGGAAGGAGCCAAGCACTGGCATCTTTAAAAAGCCCTCAAGGGGATTCTAATATGCAGCCAGGATTGGGAACCACTGATAATCCCTTCTACAAAGAACCCAATTGGTGGTAGTCTCAAAAATCTCCAGTGATAAGATCCTTATATTGCCTCCTAAGAGAGATCATTTCATTAGAAAAAAATCACTTCCTTAAAAGGAGGCAACATCTGTCTCTGCAATTTCTATCATTGGTTCTTGTTCTGCTTTGTAAAGACACATATAACAAAATGAAACCCTTTTTTCTATGGTTTTGTAAAGCATTCTCATCTCCAGGGTAAGGTGCCCATTTCCTTCAACTTGCTTCTATGACATGATTTGAGTTCTTCTCTCCATTTGGTCCATGGCCTTTTCTAAGTGTGTTGCTGTGGCTGAAACACTGCATTTCAGATGAGACCCTACCAGCTTGGATGGAAGCAGCTTAGTAGTAACGATTTTCATTTCAGACACCACATATCTAGGAATTCAACTAATGATGGGTTTTTTGTTACCACCACACCACGCTGATAGAGCAACTGCAATTGTGTTTGTTAATGCAGCTAAAGCTCTTCCTGTACTTGTACAGCCACTTATAATATCCACATGTAGAACTTCATATGTATTTCTATTAATTACCTCTTTCGTTCAATAATATTTATTGTGCTAAGCATTTGATACAGAGAGCCAAACAAAACTGACTTGGTTCTTAATCCTAATGGAACTTAAAATCAAGCATGAGAGAAGGAAAAAAAATAAAAACAAAATAACTACTTACAGATGAGTTTTTCATGTCATTTCAGCTACTTGAGCTCTCAAAATCACATCACTTCTTGTGCCTCAATTCCCTGAACATATGAGAGTTCCCTATATAACCACACACAATACAGGTGGTCCCGCTACAGACACCAGTTTCATTTTTGGCAGCCTGGCATTCTTTCTAGATTGCTCTTTCCTTTTAGAATCTTAGATCACAGGCTGGGTGCAGTGGCTCATGCTAGTACTCAAAGCACTTTGGGAGGCTGAGGCGGGCGGATCACCTGAGGTCAGGAGTTCCAGACCAGCCTGGCCAACGTGGTGAAACCCCGTCTCTACTAAAAATACAAAAATTAGCCAGGCGTGGTGGTGGGCGCCTGTAATTCCAGTTACTAGGGAGGCTGAGGCAGGAGAATTACTTGAACCTGGTAGGTGGAGGTTTCAGTGAGCCGAGATAGTGCCACTGCACTCTAGCCTGGGTGACAAGAACAAAGCTTCGTCTCAAAAAAAAAAAAAAAAAAAAAAAAAAATCTTAGATCACAAGAAACATGCCTATATCTTTCTGCAAACTTTCTGAAATTTGTCTTCCTGCAGTTGAGCCACATGACAGACTAGACTCAGTCCTTCCTCGTTCCCTTCCTTTCTCCCTTCACTTTCCTGAATTCTGGAGACAAGCCAGGGATTACATAACTTCCTCTTCACCAGCCAGTTCCTCTTCCATGGAATCAATGCCTCCCAACTTTATATTTGTATTTTTTTTTTTTTTGAGACAGAGTCTCGCTCTGTTGCCCAGGCTGGAGTGCAATGGCAAGATCTCACTCAGCTCACTGCAACCCTGCAACCTTCCCTTTCCAGGTTCAGGCATTTCTCTGCCTCAGCCTCCTGAGTAGCTGGGATGACAGGTGCCCACTACCTCGTCTGGCTAATTTTTGTATTTTTAGTAGAAACGGGGTTTCACCATGTTGGCCAGGCTGGTCTTGAACTCCTGACCTTGTGATCCACTTGGCTCGGCCTCCCAAAGTGCTGGGACTACAGGCGTGAGCCACTGCGCCCAGCCAGCTTCACATTTTAAACCTTAATGTTACCCTCTACCAAAATGCTTTGTTCTTAATCAAATTACGGGTAGAGTTTTAAGAAAGGCTATTTTTCTCTGTGTATAAGATCAAATCAGGAACTTAGTTTACTGCTATTCAAAGCCACTCTGCTTGGTAGCAGTCAGGGTTTGAATGCCCACTCCTCCAAAATGTTTAATACGGTCTCTGTCTTATTCACCTTCCTTTTCCACACAGTACTTAGCCAAGTGTGAGACACTTACTAAAATGAGATTATTCAAGAGGTGTTTATTAAAGCTAACTTTTATTAAATAGTTGCTATGTGCCAGGATTAAGTTCTTCATATGTATTTTTCATTTTCACAAATGAAAAAACTCAGGCATAGAAAAGATTAAGTTATTTGCCCTTTGTCGCAAGTTAGTTGGGTCTGATTTTGAAAACCTTGCTCTGGGCATCTTTATGTTAACCCTGCTAAGTGGCTGCTGTACAGAAATAGGGCAGTTACTCTAAGAGAGGAATGTGATGAAACCTCCAGGAACATTTTCTTTACTTGTTATGAGCAGCTCTCAGACTAAGCTCTTCACACCAGTCATGGGCCATAACAAGTAGCTTTGCAAATATTCTCTGCTGCCATAAACAAGTAGAATTCAAACATTATCTCTTCAAAGGTTCTAGCAAGTCTCAAATTATTGAACCCAGGGCACATTTAAGCTTTGGTCAGGTTACTTTCAAAATCTTGGATTGCACATGATGTTTCCCATCTACATTATCACTCTACGCTTCCAGGTTAGGAGTGGCTAACTAGCAGCTGCCAGCTGACTTGGCTTTGTTTGGTTACATTTTTCTCCTGTGCAGTGTTACAAAAGTCTGTGTAACCTTGCAGGTGCTGTGCTCTCCTAGTCTATTATGTTAATTGCATGCCCTGTGGGCAATAATTTGAACACCCCTACCTTGGTCTTAGGCTAAGAAGAAATTTAGGATGTTCTTCTTTATTCCCACTATAGAATGAGACCACCGCAGTAAGTCACACGCCATGTAGCAATACATGTCAAAATGAATGAATACCACATATAAGGGAAAAAGTCAAGGCAGGAAGTGGTTCTGAAGCTGGGCAGGGCCAGCAGTGGGCCCAGCTCTCTTAAGCCTGTACATACCTTTAGAGAAACTGATGCTCATCTTTGAAAAATATGAGCTGTCATTTCTCTTCACCACCACCTCTATTCCCGTAAGAACTTCCCCAAGAGAAGATGATCTCATAAATTGAGTTATTTTAATATAATACATGAAACAGACTTTCAATGTAGGGCATGGCCACAGAAAAGGATAGAGCATGAAACTTCCTGAGATCCTACATGATATGCTGCTTGTTTTATGATACAATTGATACAATAATGTTACTGCATACAGTAGGATAAAACTAAAGTTTCTCACAATGTCTGAAAATAAATCATTTCTTATTTACACTTTGTCTTTTTTTTTTTTTTTTTTAAAGAGATGTTCTATTGCTCAGGCTGGAGTGCAGTGGCACAATTATAGCTAACTACAGCCTTGAACTTCTGGGTTCAAGCAATCCTCCTGCTGTAGCCTCCCGAGTAGCTAGGACCATAGGCGTGTGCTAGGAAGCCCAGCCTATTAATAGCAAATGACTCACTGTTTGGCATTCTGTTGCAGGAAGAATCTGAAGACATAAGAACTACACATGAGGAATACGTCATTTAGCACCTTCACTTTTTGATCTCCACAGAAGACAATGAGAAGTCACACCATAACAATGATGACAACAACTTCAGTCAGCAGCTGGCCTTACTCCTCCCACAGAATGCGCTTTATAACTAATCATAGCGACCAGTCACCACAAAACTTCTCAGGAACACCAGATGTTACTACATGTCCCATGGATGAAAAATTACTATCTACTGTGTTAATAACATTCTACTCGGTTATTTTTATCGTGGGACTGGTTGGGAACATAATTGCCCTCTATGTATTTCTGGGTATCCACCGCAAAAGAAATTCCATTCAAATTTATCTACTTAATGTAGCTATTGCAGACCTTCTACTCATCTTCTGCCTCCCTTTCCGAATAATGTATCACATTAACCAAAACAAGTGGACACTAGGTGTGATTCTGTGCAAGGTTGTGGGAACACTATTTTATATGAACATGTATATTAGCATTATTTTGCTTGGATTCATCAGTTTGGATCGCTACATAAAAATTAATCGGTCTCTACAGCGACGGAAGGCAATAACAACTAAACAAAGTATTTATGTCTGTTGTATAGTATGGATGCTTGCGTTTGCTGGATTCCTAACTATGATTATTTTAACACTTAAGAAAGGAGGGCATAATTCCACAATGTGTTTCCATTATAGAGATAAGCATAATGCAAAAGGAGAAGCCATTTTTAACTACGTTCTTGTGGTAATGTTCTGGCTAATTTTCTTACTAATAATCCTTTCATATATTAAGATTGGGAAGAATCTACTGAGAATTTCTAAAAGGAGGTCAAAATTTCCTAATTCTGGTAAATACGCCACTACAGCCCGGAACTCCTTTATTGTACTCATCATTTTTACTATATGTTTTGTTCCCTATCATGCCTTTCGATTCATCTACATTACTTCACAGCTAAATGTATTGTCTTGCTACTGGAAAGAAATTGTTCACAAAACCAATGAGATCATGCTGGTTCTCTCAGCCTTCAACAGTTGCTTAGATCCAGTCATGTATTTCCTTATGTCCAGTAACATTCGCAAAATAATGTGCCAACTTCTTTTTAGACGATTTCAAGGTGAAGCAAGCAGGAGTGAAAGCACTTCAGAATTTAAACCAGGATGCTCCCTGCATGATGTATCTGTGGCAGCAAAAATACAGTCTAGTTCTAAAGGTACTTGAGGTAAACATACTAAAAATAATGATATAATACAGCCTCTTAATTCTTTGAAGAACTAAAAAAATGACGAAACATAGTTCTAGCATTTACAAAACTCAGATCTCAAAGCTCTCTTTGTATCTGTGATATTTCAATCGCTTAACTGTAAGCCATTTGAAGGTACTATATTTTAAATCTGCATATAAAATCTTTTCAAGATACATTTTTAAGCTAATACTCTTAACATATATTGTGAAGTTAAGTGGAATTTACGGCTTTAACAGCAAAATAATTAAAGTGCCATAGTCTCTCAAGTCACTAAAGTAGTTATTAAAATCAAGCACTTGATACTAATTTAAAATGTGTTTTAAAATAAATGATTCGGGAACTGACAATATGTCAGAAAATAGATGTTCCTTTATCATTTTAAAATCTTGTATAATTTGCCGCTGTATTCATTTATGCCTAAATCTCTATAACAAATGAAAAGATAATTAATAAAATCCTAATTAAAAAACGAGATCACCCACTATCTATCACTGCTTAGATAAAAAGGGCATGAGCCACCATGCCCGGCGGGGTCTTAGTCTTGTTCGTTATTGACTCCATGGAGCTTAGTACGTTTCTTGGCTATAGGAGATCAATATACATTTGTTGAATAATTAACAAGAATGGACAGATGAATAAGATAGGGAGAAAGGGAAGGAATGGGTGCTTACAAGAAAAAAAGTTGGGTGTAGTTAGCTTTTTTCCTAGTTCATTTGAATATGGCTGTATAGAACATCATACAATTGCTATCTAGGGGGTGTCATCAGGCAAACATTCTCAAAAGTTTGGCCAGCATTTGTCCAGGTCTTTGGTCATACAGAGAACCAGAATGTTATTGACTAAATATGTAAAAGCCTCTTATGACAAACTCCAAGGACTCATCTGAAAGTTTCTATCATGGAGTATAAAATTTTTTATACTTCTTAAAACTTAAGGTAGGCCACTGGCTGAGAAATCAATGTGAATGAGCATGAAGATTTTGATTAGAGCTGAATTAATTTTAATGAGACTTGGCTTGTATACAGTGCTCAGTTAACTATATATATGTTTTCTGAGATGCGGTCTTGCTCTGTTGCACAGGCTGGAGTGCCATGGCACAATCTTGGCTCACTGCAACCTCCGCCTCCCTGGTTCAAGCAATTCTCCTGCCTTAGTCTCCGGGGTAGCTGGGATTACAGGTGCTCGCCACCACGCCCAGCTAATTTTTGTACTTTCAGTAGAGACGGGATTTCACCATGTTGGCCAGGCTGGTCTTGAACTCCTGACCTCAGGTGATTCGCCCATCTCGGAGTCCCAAAGTGCTGGAATTACTGGTGTGAGCCACTGTGCCTGGCCAGTTAACTATATTTCAATAAGTGCACACAATTGGTTGAATAAAAAAATAAGTCAAAGCAAAAGTATATTTTAAAAATAAGTAATATTTGAGGATAAATATTAAAATTTGCAGAAAAATTAGAGGGTCAGAAAAATGTGATAAAATTATAATAATTACTTTTCCCTGACAATATTAACAAATATCCATCTAAATGAAATTTAGCATTTATGTTTGTGTTATGAAAACTTCTATTTTCCTTCATGTCCTCAAACTTAAAAATTTATTTTATATTAGCTGGGCATGGTGGCGTGCGCCTGTAGTCCCAGCTACTTGGGAGGCTGAGACAGGAGAATCGCTTGAACCCGGGAGGTGGAGGTTGCAGTGAGCCAAGATCGCGCCACTGAACTTCAGCCGGGCAACAGAGCGAGACTCCGTCTCAAAAAAAAATTATTTTATATTATTGGTAAACATCTTACGTATCTTATTGTATAGAGTTTGGCAAAATTATCAATTATTATCACTGTTAAGGAACATTAAAGTGAATATAAATACACTCATAGTTCTAGAAGCTGTCTCACACTAGATAACTGCTATAAAGCTCTGCACAATGGCATTCTTAAGAAAATTTTAAAGTATGCTTAATTAATTCTTGCTATATTATTTGCACTAAAATAAATTTTGATAGAAATCAATGTCTATATATAACAGATTGCTTACTGAGAGAAATCTGATAACATGCCTTAGAGTAGCTTGAATCCTGAGAAGGTTTCTAAATTTTTAGAAAAAATATGCTACTGACTTACGAAAGTTAAGGCTACTTATTACATATAATCTTTTACTTCTTACTGAGCATTAGTGTTTGCAAGCAGGAAACAGTTCTCACCTCTCCTAACCCAAGGTTTAGTACTAGAAGCATACAAAAAAAGGAAATTCAGAAGTATATACATATCTTTACCTCGCAAAGACCTTCAAAACAGGTTTCTAAATAACATCTCATATATGCAAAACCAAACATGTGCAAAATGAATTGTTTGGCTGTCAGAGTGAGCTCTCAGTGTTGAGTATTGCTAGTTTTGGGAAAGTATGCTGTATACAGCCAGGTTTGATGGTGGCTGAATTTTTCTGAGATTAAGTCAGTAGAAAAAGACAATTTTCTTCCACTACAGTTTTCTTTTCAACTTTAAAAAATGAATTCTTTATTCTTGCTGACATAAAAGTAGAACTAATATAACCATTTTTCTTTCTTTTTTTTTCTTGTTTTTCTCAGCACAAAAACCTGAATAGCTAATATAACTATTTGAACCAAAGCCTTACTGAAAGTTATGCACAAGAGAAAACCAATATGAAAAAAGTTCTCTTAACAAGCAACCTGGGTGCTGCAGCAACATGTTAGTGGGCTAATTATTTTTTAGGTCTTCAAAATACAATACTTTATCAGATATTAAAATATATTCTTATCCTTCAGTAAGGATAACACTGTGGAGCAGACACAAGGATAAACTTATCTGTGGAAACGAATACACTTGTCTAAGCAGATCCTAGATGACATATGAGAAAAGTACAAAATACGTATATGACTTTTTTTTTTGGAGACAGGGTCTCATTCTGTTGCCCAGCCTGGAGTGCAGTGGCGCAATCTCAGCTCACTGCGACCTCCATCTCCTGGGTTCAGGCAATTCTCCTGCCTCAACTTTGGAGTAGCTGGGATTACAGGTGCTTGCCACTGTGCCCAGCTAAGTTTTATATTTTTAGTAAAGACAGGGTTTTGTCATGTTGGCCAGGCTGGTCTTGAACTCCTGACCTCAGGTGATCTGCCCGCCTTTGCCTTCCAAAGTGCTGGGATAACAGGTATGAGCCACCATGCTTGGCCTGTATATGACATATTAATGGCTCTCTGAAAGGTGAGGGCAGGAACACATGAGAGGGAGACTTAAGATCCTGTTAGTCAAGATGTGCCAGAATCTTGCAAAGGTGGGGTTAAGTGTATTTTTGCAAAGCTCAGATGACCCCCACACATTCTCCTCCCTCAGAGAAAATCACTGTAAATAAAAGAAACATCACAAAAATCATCAGGAAGGAAGGGATGGATTAATAAATAATAGTGCTGTGCCTATTTAAAATAAAAGGCTAATTTACAGTGTTACCTTTTATCTTACCCCAAAATTTTTAAGTATATTCAAGAATTAAGTGTAAATAATGAGACCATAAAAGATAAAAAACAACTAATTTATCTGTAGATGGGAAAGAACTTTCAAACGAAATAACAGAAATAACTACAGGGAAAAATTCATAGATCTCACTTAGAAATTTAGATTCTTTGTCCCAAATCATAAATACTGAAGCAAAAGTACAAAGCAGGAAAAATATTCACCACAGATATGATATTTACTGGAGAGCCTTTTATGTGAGCCACCAACAAACCACACTCACTTGTAAAGAAGCTTGTAGGGGTATTTTTAATTGGAAGGAAAGATTTGAAACTCAGAATATAATCTGAATTATGTCAACTCAGACAAGGGATAAACTACGGGGCATTCCCATGTTGGATGATGCAGTGTCCTGTCATAGCTACATGGCCCAGCTGAGTGACTGCCACTATGTCTCAGTTCAGTCTATGTTTTCATATGAAGACTTGGAGAGCTGGTTGGGGATGTTAACAGTGAGCACAGAACTAGAAAGGAGGTAGTAGGTTTGTTCTAAACTTCTATTTTTCCTTTTATTTCCCTGCTTCAAGTTCACATGTAAGGGAATGGGAAGCAAAGTAACGTGTTTATTTACACGCCCTTCACTGTGCTAGGTGCTTCCCATGCATTATCATCAGTTAATTTTCATGGCATTGTGATGTAAGCAGCAACTGTATTTTACATATGTAGGGATGCAAGTTGGTAGACTTCCATTCTACTGACACTGTCTCTGCTAACGCTTTTCACTTTTGTTTAATTCTGTCCGAGCACAAAGGTGGTTGCTGAGATGTCTTTCATTTAAAAAACATAAATTGCCATTAATATGTATTGGGGCCAAAAATTTCTGCTTATCCCTCATCAAAATTTAGTAATGTCAAAAAAATAAAATCTTTAAGACTGGTCTTCTAACCATCACACTTTTGTATACTCTGGAAGCTCTCTCTGAAACATGGATGATAATCCAGAACAAACTCATAAAGGTCGAACTGAAGAAAAAAATGGAATCAAATTAGAGCATCTTACCCTTATTAGTTTTGTTTCTGGCCCATGAAATGCATACAGAACCATCAGAAGATGGAACAGGCTTCTAATTATGGTTTGGATACAGGTGTTGATGATACAAGGAATCTCTTTTGCTTTAATAAGTCTGGGAGCAACTTAACTGTTTCGCTTATACTCTGGTTTGGTAATTTCACATATAAATTGTTTTTAGTTATAAAACATTTCAAACATACAAAAATGGAAAAATGCAACATAACAGGCACCTAAGCACCCAGCACCCGAACTGAACAGATGTTAATGGTTTGGTTTTACTTAAAAGTTTTTTCGGGGGGGGGGGAGGCTAAAAAAAAAGTTTTTTCGTATTCATATACATTATCCAAAAAGTTAGATATATTAAAGCTCACTTCACATCCTTCCTTGAGGAAACCTCTTTCCTGAAGTTGGTGTCTATCACTCTGATGTATATTTTTGTGCTTTTACAACATACATATGCATAACAATATGTACTACTTTTTGTTTTAAAAATTTACACAAATGGTGTCATACTATTATATCCTTTGTACCTCTTTTCACTCAAATTACGTTTATCTATGTAGACTCATGTAGGTCTTGTTCATTCATTTTCACTGATGTAGTGTTTTACTGCATGAATAAACAAGAGCTCATTTCTCCATTTCCCTTAACACTGGGCAATTTGGTGGTTTCCACTTTTTCCACTAATTGAAACCATGCTCAAGTGAAGTCTTTTATATACCCTAATGCTTATGTGTGAAGTTTATGTGACACCTAAAAGCAGAAATGCTTGGTTGTAAGGGTATGTACGTTTTCAGCTTGTCTCAGTTTTGACAAATTGCTTTCCAAAGTGATTTTACCAATTTATATGCCCATCTCACTACGAGGCAGAAATGAGTTCCTTATAAAACCAAGTGTTGGTAAGGATGCGGGACTCACATCCTTACCAAGGATGAG